AAGTTTCAGTCCCTGGTCTCTGGGGATATGTTTTGTTGTTGTGATTGTGGCTGGCTAGTTGTTTTTGTTTGGGGTTTCCTTGAGCTTCTGAGGACACCATGGTGGGAGTGCATGACAGAGATAGCCTATTGACCTCAAAGGAACCAGGAAGCCAAGAAAAAAGAAGAGGGGCCAGAGTCCTGATGTACCTTTCAAGGACACACATTAGTGACCCAAACTTCCTCCAAATAGGCCCTACATCCTAAAGGTTTCACCACCTCCCAGAAGCTCCATGCTTTGGGGAACGAGACTTTAGCATATGGACCTTTGGGGAACATTTCAGATCCAAACCAATTAACAGTAAAATATTTAATTCTTAGATCAAAAGGTAGCAACTTAATTTGAAATTCTTTTCTAATTAGGAGACAGAACAAAGCCACGAAGCTTAAAGTCTTCACTATTGTTTAACACTGTATTAAAAGTATTAGAAAATGTTGATGTAAAGGGGGAAAGAATAAAAGGCATAAAAGTTGGAAGTAAATACACACAAACTTTTACATGTTTTTAATATACCCACCATAAAGAAATAATAATGCTTGAGGTGACAGTTAAGCTAATTACCCTGATTTGGTCATTATACAGTGGATATGTGGATTGGAACATCACACTGAACTTCATACACACAGTTATTATGACAGTCAAAAAGAAACATTTAAAAATAAAAAATTCTATAAATGACAAAATATATTACAAAGTATAAAACTGACATATTTATTAGTATAGTTCATATAACCAAATAATAATAGAAAGCCTAATGAAAGATATTACCTTATTACAGTCATAAAATCATTCCCAAACATAAAACCAATAAAATGTATGCAGAAGAGAAATAAATCAAGTTATTAAACATTGCCAAAGGTACTGATGCAAACCCGAAGAAATGGGAAATTGTACCACACTTCAAGACTAGAAGCTTCAAGATCCAGAGTGTGGGAAAGCCCCTCCCTGGTTTATTTGTCAACTTAAAAAAAAAAAAAACAGATCTTAATGCATCTATGCTATCATAATTTTTTGTTGAAGCTAGCCAAATTAATTACAGAAGTTATGGTTAAACATGAATACTCAGCAAATCCCCCAAAGAAGAGTATGTGGGAAGCTACCCTGACGATAAGAGAACATAATGAAGTTTCTATAGTTAAAGCAGTGTGGGATTGGCTTACTGGTAGACCAAAGGACCAATCAAACAGGATGGAAAACTCAGAAATAGCCCAACTGCCTTGACATTTACTATGTGATAAAGGCAGACACTCAAAATTAGAAAAAGATGGACATTTTTGTAAATGGCAATGGAGTAAGTGGATAGCCATATGGAAAAAGATAAAGTTGGATTCATTCACACTGTACATCAGTATAACTTATAAATAAATCAGACATCTACCTGTTAAAAACATGAAATGATTCAAACAGAATAGAATATTAGGTAAATAGCTTTATTAACTAAGAAGCTATAAAGCATTTATAACTGTGATTATATCAGAAATTATAAAATATTAATAAATTTAATCAAAAGCAAGTTTTTGAAAATAATAAAAGAGAAGTCAAAAGCCAAATCACAAAATGAAGGAAATGCATGTAACTTATACCTCAAGTAAAAAAGTTAACATCTCTAATATTACAATTGAAAACAAAAGAATCAAAATCTCAGAAGAAAAGGAGCAAAGAATAAAACACTGCATATAAGAAATCAGTAGCCATTGAATATTCAAAAACGTTCTCAATCTTTCTCATAATAAGAGAAATGCAAAACAAAACAACACAAAAATTTGTTCTTCAATTATCATTTGGAAGTTGGAAAAAATTTAAAGATGCTGCATTAGAGAAATTAAAATAGTCTCACTCCCATTTATTGATAAGGAGGCTATAAATGTCTACTATCCATGTATTTAAGGCATTCCTGATAAAATATGAGTAGGAGTTTTTTATAGGAATTTATGAGCTAACTAAAAATTAGTTAAAATGTTAAGAATCTAATGTAACTAAAACAACTTGTTAAAGGTGAATAAAAGTGGAGGGCTTACATTTAGCTGATTGGCTGGGTAAGACATTGTTTCAATAGTGGCATGAACACCATGGGAGTAACCAACCACTTTTCTTATTGGATTTGCAGTTGCAACTCATACCTGATATCATTGTTAGGCCAAGAGTATGTGGTTAGACAGATCATAGGCCCTAGGCCTGAGCCTACCACTATTATGCTGCTAAATGGACATAATATTAAATTGACTTCTATTGATTTATTGTTATGCCAATAGATTAATCTCTCAACACTCATCACAGAAGCTTCTATTGGCAGTAGGCAGTGACAAACGCCCAGACCTACAACTGACAAGGCACAGAGAATAAGAGACTGCAGCGTGCTCAGCCCTAACTAGGATATCTAGATCAGATCCCACACTCCCAAGGATCAAGGGTCATTGTAAACTAAGGGCGAGAAGACTGTAAGAGCCAGAGATGATGAGTGAACACAAGTAAAGAGTGTGCTGTATACACAGCAGTGCTCCTACATGTATGAAGACACAGCAATACGGCAGCACGCACAAACCTTGTGCAAGTTCAAACCAGACCAAATCCCAGCATGGAGAGAGGAGGTAGGAACAAAGCCCAAATCCTCGCCAAGGAACTATTGGCAATTGGTAGTTGCTGGGAAAGGGAGAGCTCATGTTTGTCAAGAGTGTTGGCCCTATTAGGTTGACCAAACTCCAGTGAAAGGCCATGCACTGAAGAATATATGGGCAGCACAAATTGGACTTAATTGGCTGGAGAGGGAAAAGGGACACAAAGCTGGGTGGGTAGAGAAAGAAACAATAGATCTGGGAGGAGTTGAGGAGGAACTGAATAAGATTAAAACACAAGAATTAATTACAAGAATATAATGTCCCAATTTATGTGTGTCTGTTCATGTCTATCTATTTTGTCACTTTTGTTTGCCTGATGTCAGTTTTGGTTATTGTGGAAAGGTCTTTAGTTTTAATTATCTCTCCCTATATTTCTTCCTCTACCCTGCCCTCACATCCCCTACCCCACCCAATTAAGCCTTCTTATTCCATTAAATCCTATCTATCAAAGATACCACCAAGAATAAATAAACTGGTCAAACCATTGTTGAGGACTTAATTCCCCCTGTCCACCAAGCAGTCAAGGAGTGGTTTGTTGCTCCATAACATTCATGTCATGACTGCACCCATGGACATATCTTGCCCAGCAGTCATTACTGTGTTCACAGAACTCACTGCTGGGTCAGACTATTGATGTTTCTGCCCTAGCAATCTTCGTAGCATCTTCTATGAAAGCAGCAGGAAGTTTCCAAGTCAGCACCAACTTGATTATTCCATGTCCTGTGGTCAAACTGTGTGACATTTTCAGCAGCACAGTCTTACTACCAAGTTATGGTGGGCAAGAGCAATGGAATAGCTTTTTTTTTGAGGGGCATCCAGATTACTCCTGACCTCTTTGTATATTTTAAATACAAGTTCTTTAACATGTATGTCTCTTTTAGATGGTGTATTCTGCTAAACTGTGTGCCTAGGGCTCCATCCACCAAGTCTGAGGACAACATGTTTATTCCTATATGAAACCAAACATGCCTCCTTTACACATACTACAAACTCATCCAATACCAATCTTGTCATTTTGCCAAGGCCAACTCAACAAAATATTTTACCTCCTACACTCTTGCGAAATATGGTATATTAAAATTATCCTGTGAAAAATAAAAAAAAATATGAAATTACTGAAATGTGTTAGGTCAACTAGCATGGGAAAATAAATCTTCCAAGAAAAATGGAAGGCAAGAAAATATTTCATAATAAAAGCCATAATAGATTGGGATTCAAGCCAGGATCCGAATGCCAGCACCAGGTGTTTTTGTTCTTGGATAAGAGGCAAATTTTTAATCTCCAAAGTGTACCTATATGATATACATAGGTGAATTAAAAAATTTCCAAACAAATTTAATATCTGTCATTACAAAAACTGTGTCTTAAAATGAGAAAGAACTATGGATAAAGATAAAGGGATATACACTCATTAAGAGAAAAAGTTAAAATCCCCTCTATAAATGATAGAAGACAATGGAAATTGTAGTACTTGTTGGAAAAATAATTGTAACACTAAAAAGCCACACTAATAAAAAATCTTTGGATCCTCTACTTGATTTCAGAAATAAACAAATTTAAGAGTATTTATTCTGGGCTAGAAAGATGGTTCCGCTGTTAGGAGCATCTGCAGCTCTTTCAGAAGATTCAAGTTCAATTCCCAGCATCCACATCAGGTGGTTCACAGCCACCTGTAATACCAGCTCCGGGGGTTGTGATGCTGTTTCTGGCCTCAGCAGAAGCATGCATCACACATACATACACACACACACACACACACACACACTAAAATAAAATAAAATAAACTTTTTTAAGAGTAGATATTCTGTTAAATGTTTTCTGCGGGAGTTTGACACTTTTATTCCTCAGATGAATGGGTTAGGAGTGGATATAAATAGGGAAAATAATTCCCTCAAGCCCAGGTGTTAAGTGCAGTTTGAGGTACATAAAACTTCCTCATTCAAAGAAGAGAAAAACTGCAATTACGTGGGACTGACTAGTACCAAATATTTTTAAACTGCTACTTTTGGAGCCAATATGGAAAAGAAGAAGAGCAGAGATTGTAAGTAATAAAATTTGTAAGTTATTTGTGTGGCCGTCCCAGAACTCGGGAGGCAGAGGCAGAAGGCTCAGCACAAGTGTGCAGTCAGCCTGTTCTACATCACCAGTTCCAGGCTACCTGAAGCTACATAGACAGTCTTTAAAAAGAGTGAGTGGCAGAGTGAGAGAAGGAAGAAAAGAAAAAGAACAAGGAGAAGGGGTTGGGGAAGGAGGGAGGGAGGACAGGACAGGAGAAGAAATCAAGCAGGCAACAATGAAAACCTTGATGCCAGTGGCTGCAGCAATTAAAAAAAATCTTTTCTTGGTGTCGCTGCTCAGCCATTTGGCTAAAACCAAGTGTAGTATCTGCTCTCATCAGCTTAATGTCTGATAGCTCATCTCTTCAAGGACAGTGTATTAAATAGATTTTTGGAGCTGGGAGTTGGAATGAGGGGCTTGTTCTGTCCAGTCCACAAATTGACCTGAAACAGCAGTACTTCCAAGAGTGTTACATGCCCCAGGGTAGGAGCCCAAAAAACCTTGGACTCATCACTAAATCCTCATATGAAGACAGTTGGCTGATGAAATGCCACTTGGTGACCCTTCAGTGCTGGATGAATTAATGAGTGAAGAAGCATAGGAAAAATAGTGAAGTCCATGATTGAGGAGCTAACACGGCACCCCCTCACAGATAAAACAGTGTAAAGTAACCTGAAAAAAAAGAAGAAGAATGATTGCAGGGCAATTCAAGGAGGAAAATAATGCCACAAAATAGTGATTGATGAGACTGTCTAGAAAAGGTCAGAAAACACGATTCCCCATGAACGCCATAGTTCCAAAACTCCTCATCGTCAATACATCCAAGCAGCTAGTGAAGTAAGCAGATCTGAGAAGGCATGACATACACTAGAGGTTACAGACAGCTGCTCACTTGTCATATACTACCATCCCAGTGTGAAGGACTCAGGTGATAAGAGGAAAGCTTAGTCATATGCCCTATCCCCTACAAAGGAAGTCATCTGAAGTAAAGTCATTAGCTTGGAGGGGATAGTACTAAAAACTAAGTCTCTCCAAAGGACAATGTTAAAAGGAAATAAATACATGGGAGTCTGTGGGTGAGAGTTCAGTCCTCTCCCTGTGGTCAGGTAAATTCCCCACCATGGTAATGGAGAAATCTCAAAACAGTAAGAGTGGGATCCAGAGTCCCAGCTGGTCAGTGAAGGCCAGAGGAGGGGCCTTTCTTGGAGGAGGAGTTCTTAGCAATCCTCCCCCAGAAGGTTCAGTGAGAGAAATGAGGAGTCATAGAGAGATTCTCATTCCCTCATTCTTGAAAACAGCATCCACGCAGAGATTTCAGAGTTTCAACAACATGGCCTTTCCCTATCCTTGTCCTTCTGTTTCCACGGTTCCCATGGTGCTTTATTCTGGGAACTGGCTCAGTGAAATTCATCTTGAAGAGTGAATGTTGATACAACTCAGAGGGTCCGAATGATCTAGACGGAGTAGCAATTGAGACAGGATAGACAATCTAGGCCCACCAGCTTCTATTGTGGCCCTCTCTTCTGTACTCCCCTCCCTCTGCAGCCAAGATGAAACTGGTTAAAACTTGAGGCCCTTCTCTAGAGTGATTCTGCAAAGATGGAAGCCATTTGACACTGTCCAGACCTTCCAACCATACTGGGGACTGCAGTAAACATAGCATGAAGATGAAGTTGTGCAACCCGAAGTCTTTTCCTATATCATCATTATTAGATGATAACAGTAATTGTGTAAATGTGTGAAGCTGTACATTGAAAGCTAAGATAAAAGAAAGGAAATGTTTACAGAATATGTCCAATGCTGTGTGGCATTACAACTCTGCCCATTTTACAGGTGAGGACCCTGAGCCTAAGCAACTTGTACCAAGTCTCCAGGCTAGTGAGTTGGAGCAGCTGTGAACTCTGATCTTCGGGCTCCTTTTTTTCAAACTCTAACTAGTCTCCACAAGACACTGTGGGTCAGGCAGGCACTTACCCCTTTCCATTTGTAGCCACATGGCTTCTCTCTACAGCTTCTGGTCACAAATAGCTCTGGGAGAAAAAGAAGGTAGAGCTCCTACCCATCTGCTTCTGCTTCCTTACTTTTATGATAAAAAAAAAACCTCTAGTGTTCCTTGGTTCCCTAGCTAAACTGCAGAACGTGTCCTCTGATTCTTCCTTTGCCCTGGGGCTCCTGTACAATCTCTGCACAGAAGGACAGCATAATGTCCTGGCACTGTGGGTCACAGGGGTCTAAAGACTTTGATTCTGGATTAAAGATCTCAGTGAGTTTGTTACAGAGGACTCACATATCCATTGTCAGCTGTCTGCCCTTTACCACACATACACACATATAAACACACCTTTAATAATGCATCATGCGGCTCTTAATAATCTGTTTGCTCACTGAAGTTGCATCTTTATATGCACAATGAAAAACAAAGTATTATGGGAAAATACATTTTTGGTATTCTGTACTGATGCACTTACTATATACAAAACACCACATCTGGCCCAGGAACATCATGTGGAGACAAAGGATCCAACGGCAATGTACAAATAATTCTGTCCTACTTACTGTTCACAACTTCATAAGGAAGATCTGTCATTCCCCACTTTAAAAGAATAGAGCACCCAGATAACACATTATAGGATCTTGAGCCAACCCCACGGAGCTCCTTAAACTCGAGGTACATTACTAACAGCACCCAACTGTCTCCCACCAGAGGGTTGTCTTCACTGAGCCGCACACAGTGTCAAAACCATTTTAAAGAAGTGATTTTATAAATATAAATACAGGGCCAATGAAGTTTTCTGTGGAAACTTGGCCTCGTTCCTGCTGTTTAGGGTGTATATATATTTAAGGATGGCTGATTGCACAGCCATGAAACAAATCTCTGAATTTAGGGAAATTTGAGCTACCACATTAAGGATGGTTTTGCTCCAAAATAATGACAAAAAAAATGGTCTTGGGGAAGTTGGAAAACCTTTATAAGAGCAGAAGTCCATCTTCTTCGAGATAAGCACACTGAAAGTCACCACACATGGGTCTGGGCAGACTTTGAGGTCATATGTATACATCAATGAGACCCTGCTCATCCTCGGCTCAACAGTGACAATGACAAGGTTTCATCAATCACACACAGAATTGCCCACATCCCAGAGTGAGTCTGAAGGATTCCAATCCCATTCCAAAAAAGAAAGGGAAAGGCAATTCATTAAAACAAAATTAAAATAAGCCCATAAGGCAGGCTTCTCAGATCCAAGTGCAAAGAAGACGTTGGAGGTTCTCTGGAAGCTCTGAGGGGATTTTGTCTGTTGCTTCAGAGACAGTTGCCATGACAACTTCATTTCCAAATGAATCTTAGACAGGCTTTTCTAAAACCATGTTACCTAATGACTTGCTCCAGTGCACGCAGCAAGCAAAAAACAACTGTTTTGATATTTTCTCCCTTTTTCAATATCCCCAGCTTCCAAAGCTTGAGGGTCAGAAAACTGACTTTCTTCTATTTATTTCTAGTTTAAACTACATATTATTTCAACATTGTAGAATATAAGATGTTTTGCCTACAATAGTTTTTTGCACATGTGCTCATGTATATCAGGTCTTAAGCTTCTGGGGGGGACTGTGGATTTCAAGAACAGTCCAGAGCCAACCACCGAACAGTATGAGGTTCCACTTTGCATCAGAAGAAGCATGAGCTACATACAGCCTTCACCCCTACATTCTGGCATCTTTAGAACAGGAAGTTATTCTGCATCCTACCAAAAAGGAAATATAAACACCAATCCAGCCACAACCCTTTGCTCTACAGTGATGTTCTGCCTACGAGGTATGCTAGGGCAATGGTGGCACAAAGCTTATGGGTATAACCAACCAATATTTGACTTGACTTAAAGTCCACTCCACGAGATGGCACCTATACCCAACACTGCGTGGGTAATCAAGAACCTGAGATTACATAGCCCAGGGACCCAGGGGAAAAACAAATGTTGCCGTTCAAAAATGAAAAAAGGTAGCAATAAAATGACTCCCAATAGCATTCTGCTGTACTCATAGATCAATACCTTGATCAGCCATCGCCAAAGAAACTTCATCCTACAGCAGATGGGAACAAATACAGAGACCCACAGCTAGACATTTTGTAGAGAGAGAGACCTGGGAACACTCAGCCCTAAGTGGGATGTTTCCATAAAACCCCTCCACTCAGAGCTCAGGGAACCCTGTTGAAGAGGAAGCAGAAAGAGTGTAAGAGCGAGAGGGAACAGAGAACACCAAGAAAACACCTCTAAATCAACAGGATGGGTGCACACATGAACTCATAGAGACTGAAACAGCATTCTCTGGACCTGCACAGCTCTTCACCAGATGGGGTCCTAGATCTGAAAGGAGGAATGAACACACACCCCATCCCCAATCTAGAAGCTGTCTCCAATTGATAACCACTTGCAAATGAAAATTTAGTCTTCTCCAAGGGAATCTCACCAGAGAAATGAACCACTCTAAGAGTGGGCTGCATGTCCAACAGTAGAGGACCAACAGAAAATGAACTCAACAGTATCTTTGGAGGTGCTTTGTCTTATAATATCATCTCAGGACTTTTCCTTTTCTTAATCTATATTATTTTTCATCTTTTATTTTCATTTGTGTATACATTATATCTCTTTTTACCCTACAGATCCTTTACATATATATTATGGCTTACAGTTTAGTGTGTTTCTATGGGATTCCTGAGTGGGTCTCTGCATCTATATCTGTTTCTAGTGCCTTCTCTTGGGCTCTTTTCCTTGTTGGTTTATTTGGTCCTATTCCAATATGTTAGTTTTTGTTTATATTACATTATGTCATATTATATTATTATCCCATAGAAGCCTATTTTCTAATGAGAGAAGAAAAGGTGGTGGATCCTGATGGGAGGGAAGGGGAGGAGGAACTGGGAGTAGGAGGAGGGAAAAATATAATCAGGATATATTATGTGAGGAGAAAAAAATCTATTTTCATAAAAAGAAAAAACAGCACAAGGCTGGCCAAAGAGAAGAGATAGCATGAAATGGGGCTTCACTGTCATAGCCATATCTCAGATAGCTTCTGGGAAAATAAGTAGAGTTAATCTGTTCACACTTAAAGTGAGACTTCCTACTCAAGCACTCTAATCTGGACATTCCGTCACAGACATGCCAGAGGCCTACAGGCATCCCAGGTGATTCGAGATTCTTCCACATATATAGTACCAACCACCCCATAGAGGAAGCAAAATTAGACTTTTGGCTACAGAGTGAAGCCCTATCTCAGAAAATAAAAATAATAAAAGAATAAGCAAGATGTTGTGTGAACATATATTTTCTCTAGGGTAACTACCCAGATGTGGAATTTCTGGGTCATAGGGCAAAGTGTTAATTCTATAAAAAGTTGGCTGAATTTTTTCAAAAAGATACAAAGAGGGAAAATAAAAGTTAAGTATACTTTCAGAGTTAGACCTCCATAAATTAAGCAGAAGCTGG